CCCCCCGACCTGCCCCTCCTTTTTTCCTGTTTCAGAAAAGTCTTTCCTTTTCGAATTTCATTTAAAAAGAACAAGGCGAGCGGCTGGCGGTGTGGGGGGGGGTTTTGCTCCCCCTCTCTGTTCCGTTTTGCTTCCCGCCCCCCTTTTCTTTCTTTCTTTTTTTTTTTTTTTTTTTTTTTGTTGCTATTCGCAACTCTTTGGCAAAATTTACTGCTTATTGTTAGTGTTGCTCAGTATTCTATCTAAGTGATCTGACCGAAATGTAGCTGGTCTGACTGCCTCATAGTTATGCTCTATTTGTTGAGCTTTATGACAGGTTCTACAGAGCATCTATTGCAAATACTCCTAATATACTATTGACGGTGATGCAAAATAGCTTTAGACCACGCTGTAGAGGTAGGATCTCTCCTTGTTACTCCTAATAATAGGTCTTCAGAATTATACCATCATCCCATCAAGCTAAGAAGAAGTTAGTCAGGACTGTGCTCCTAAGACCTAAGTTCACAATCATAAGCACAGTAAAAGCCTCCAATCTATAAAGTCTACTTCCAAGAGACTTATCACCGAGAGAGAACTAGAAGAAAGGAAAAGGTCTGCTGTATTAGGTTCATGAGGCCTTCTTTGTCTGCTTATTCACTAAACCACTATGCCCCCCCTTCTTATATTCTTCCTTTTTTATAAGGACATACCTTAAATACATCATTTTACTGATATCTAGTATCTATAGTGAATAATTATAGGACAAGTATTCACTATCTTATTTAACATTAGGCAAGGCAGGCGCAATGCCGGCAATTCTGTAGGTAATATAAACATTCTTCCCCTCTTCCCTCTTCTCTTCTTCTCCTTCGATCACTATCATCATCTTCTTCCTGTGAGTATACCCTGGGGTTCTGACTACTGTGATATTACAGCTGGTTCTCAAGTGCTGGGATATTCTGCATGCCTATTTCCTCTCAAGTGCCCGTCCAGCACAGTTCGAAAGGAGCCAGCAGTGCAGAAATCACGACGGAGATCAAGGATGCGATCAAAAAATTGGATGAGGAGATCCAGCAAGAGATGAATAAACAGGAACAGTGGAAAATCGACGACGATGACGAGCCGGTTCTGCCATCCGATGGTGAAGATGAGACAGACTCATCTAAAAAGAAAGAGATCTTCTTGACTGACACTGGATTTCCTATGCCAACCATGACGAAGCGCGGAGCCTACCACACATGGGTGATGGAAAGATAAGGGTCCTGGATCCAGAGAAGCGATTTACCCAAGAACCCTGATAAAGTTGAGTGGTGATTTTCCTTTCTTATGTTCCTCAATTTTCCTTAATCTCTGGCTGCCCTCCTGTCCTGCTCCTCCTGCTGCGACCACCATGGTAGCTGTCATTGTGCCGCCCTGTCCTTGGGCTTCCTCTGTCCGCCGAGATGCCTGTGCCGGCCGCTGGCCGCAGGAAAAGAAGAATTAGATATCAAGTCTCTGGTCCAGACTATCAAGTCCCATTTGTATAATCCTGACTTTGACTCGGCGTTCACAGATGAGGACCTCTTTTGGAGCGCTTATGCGCTGCGTTGGAGTGCATCATGCGCGCTGGGGTATGCGGGGGTCTCCAAGTCTGTGTTGCGGACGCTGTTGTGTGGAAGGGATCGAGATGGCGATGGAGTCAGGTCAGAACCCTCGCTTCAACATGGCTGGATCTTCCGATCCAAACCAACTTCATGATCACTTCATGGGGGCGTTTACACCCGACAAATTCTTTCACATCTTCTATTGGGTCAAACCAGTTCTCGACTTTGAGAGATCGTCGCAGCTCGGGCAATGGTATATCAAACGTTCAGTCTATAACTCCCTATAATAATATGGAATAATACTAACTTAGATTTACTCCTAGACATATATGTTAATCTCCAGGCTCAGGCTCAGGCGAAGGAGACGAGCCATATCGTCTGTATTGGGGCGGAGCCGGTGCAGAGATCATGGCCCTTGTGACTGCTGCTGTTGCTGCGCATGTCGCCCTGGGGTAATCAGTTATGACATGGCAAACATCCAGGCCGGCCCGGCTGTGAGTGTAAGTCATCTCCTCTCTTGTTTTCAGTATCGCAACTGACATTTTATAGCAACCCAGCAACTGACCCTTGGTTTGTTCCGCGCTCACGTGGGAATCCTTCGGTGGTGCCAGGCCTCCTGCCTTGGACAGGGCAGCAGTCCCTGTAAGGCCGCGAGCGGGTATGGGTCACCAGATCTGTGCTTCGCTCGGTCGATTGGTGTGGCTGGGGCTCACCATGACAGCTGTTGACAGAAGAAGAACCAGGAACAGGGCAACAAAGCAAGAAGAAGTCTGGCCTTTATTTTTATTCCATCATGATTTGTCTGCAACGAGACATGGGCGACCCAGTAGACCGAGCCGGGCAGCAAGGGCAGCAGATCGGGGAAGAGATCCACCGATGAGGATCATGTCTGTGGACCTCAAGCATCCAGTCCGCGTGCATATGGAGAGCAGAGAAGATCTTGCCGAAGCCCAGCGATTGGGTTGGTCCAATCACTGCTGAACTTGAGTTCTGGGAGTTGCTGGGTTTCGAACCTCAAAGATGGGGATAAAGTGTTGTAAGTTCCTCATCTATAACAACAGTCCTTTAACTGTGGACGTAACTGACAAGGATAGATGCTGCAGCATCTATCATCTCATTAGGTAAGTCCTCTTCAGATATCTAAGAAAGAGGGTACATATTTTAACATGTTTAGATTCCAATACTATTATCTCAGTTGTTCAAGACCACGTTTTCGAAGAGCCTACGATTGTCGCAGACGAAGAGCATCAATACTACAACAAGCTGCAGCAGAGCTGATGTTTGAGGGAGTGGAGGAAGTTTTGAGGCAGTAGTCCATCACGAGGGCTTCTCATCGCGCCCTGCTTGCTTAACAACTGCTTCATGCCAGTGCAGGATAAGATCTCACGCATCCTTCTCCTTTCCATCCAGCCACAGACAATCCAAGACAAAATGGGCCGACCCAAGCACTCAGACGACAAGGCCAAAAAACTAAAGGAGATACGCGATGAGAAGGAGCCCTTAGCCGCCAAGACCAAGTACTCCATCTGGTTTTTCTTGCCGGACTAATTCTAAATCAAACTTGACCCTTCAAAAATCGACCTGCCACCACCGGTGATTCCAAAATTTGCCCAACCAACGATGCCAACGCTCCCTGCAGGAATCATCGTTGGGATGCCGCATGACTGGGATGACGGCAACTTTTGGGCGCGCTTCAACTACACAACGGCGTTCTTCAAATTCCAGACCAGCGCCCCATGCTTGCAGGTGTGTGATTCCAGTAGCAAGCCGCTCAAGAACAACCAGTGGCAGCTTGCAACAAAATTCTAGTCTAAGAAAGACCAACTCGCCGCAGCAAAAACAGCATTAGAGACCCTCCTCAAAGACCTTATCGATGCACAGAACGAGATTAACCTGCAAATGATGAAATGGCGGGTAGCAAGGCGCCTCTGGGAGGCAGAGATAGCCATCAACCAAGGAGCGTCAGATCCTCAACTGATCCGACAATGGACATCTATGCCTCCCCCAAGTCGTGCCTCTTTCGCTACTGATCCAGATGAATCTGAAGTGTTATCCCAGTTTCATTGCAAATATGAGATGTCAGACTTCCATATGCTTCTTGCATTATGGTGCGAAGACACTGGGATTTCAAGATCTCAATATGCATCTCTCCGTGAAATTCTACAGACTATTACTGAGGTCTCTCCACTCAAGAATCTCCCATGCGATATTACTTTATAAACAGTTATAGTGTGTGTTTTTTTAGATCCTCAATTAGAGATCTACCTCCAACGCCTCCCTCTGACCATGAGGTAAGATCCCTTGTCTCCGCGAGGGGTTTCCTGTGTGGGAGTTCTCCAGTGAGCAAGCTAACCTTTCACGATAGGAACCTGCCATCCCCATGAACGCCTCCTAGCCTGCCACTGCTCCCACTCCGGCCTCCGCTCCCGCGGTAGGACCTGTAAGAACTGGCGGGATAGTCATCCGAATAAACCGCACGATCATGAGCATAGCAAGCCACTCAAGAAGAGGACAACAAGGATACCTGAATGACAGAAGATGTGGGCCGACACTAATCATGGAGTGTGGCTATTCAGAGAGCACGGCACATCGCAGGGCTATGGCCCACTTGTGGCTAAGTCACTCAGGTGGGCAAGTGAAGGCGGTTATCCTCAACTCTGTCAAAAGGCGGGCGTTCAAAATCATCTTTGAGAAGTGGATTCCAAGCATTGCCATTCCGACCAACGGCAACAGCCAGCCTTTACGCAATCATGGCCTTTCTGTGTTGCGTGAATAGGAGATTGTCATAAGGAGAAATCAAAACAGTCACGCAGAAGTCAACGGTGGCCCTCTTATCATCAGGGTCGAGCGGTCGAGCCTGTGAAGGTTGCCCCAAAAAAGGGCGCGGCACTGATTGGCTTAAGCAGTCAGATGGTACTTTCATGTGCATTACATGCAATTCATGGAGGGAAGCTCATCCAAACGAATCTCACTGGCATTCCGATGGTACAAGCGTGGAGGATCGTGAATGCTCTTGCCCAGGCCCCGCGACTCCTCCTGGCCCGGGCTCCCGCAGCCACCTGAACGGTCCTGTCGAACCGCTACATCCGTCACACAAGTCAATGACTCGTACGCCAAATCCCAAGAGATCCAAGATGGTCAAAGAAATCAACACTAATACTGGAAACACAAGCAATGATGCCTCTCATGCAACTAATCAAAGCTGGAAGAGTGTTTTCTCGGAACTATCATATTCGATGTTCGCAATTTGGAAGCCCAATGGCGAAAAGGCCAGAACCGCACCATAAATCAAAAGCTTGTTGATTCTCTGAAGACTGAATTCCAGGTGAATATACGAAGATACGCCATTGAGGACCTATTGAATAATAATACCACTAGGCTAAAAAGGTGTCCGGACGATGTACTCGTCAGTCTAGGGTTTCATAGTCATAGTGGTATCTTATTCCAACAGGACCGGATGTGGGTGACACTCCATTAAGGAGATTTTGAAGCATACCTTAAATGGATCCACCATAAAGCAAAGAAGCAAGACCCCACACCAGTCGAGCTCGCAGAAGTAATGATAACGGCAGTGCCAGGCAATCTCGTCACCCGGAACAGCAAGACAGACAAACCAGCTCAGGTGTCTGGCGTCCAGCTGACATAGGGTTTTTCTATCCAGACATCCCTCCCGGCGAAGTTAAAGGGACCATGAGAAACGACTGGTCGGCTCCCACCACAGTGGTAAATGGTTCTCCCCTCCTTGCGGGTAGTTCACAGCTAACATTCTCACAGGGAAACGTCGTAAGCTCCTCATCTATAACAGCCATGACAGAGACGGCATCTATATTGGATCCGCTCTTGGAAAGCGAGGCCTCGCTGGTCGTGTTGCCGTGCACAAAAGAGCAATTAATGGACATACACTGAGGTCATGTCACTACAACTTTATTCATGAGGACGATAGACGATCCCCTCATTTCCGAGCGCTTGCCGTGTTTCCTCAAGGAATAAATACCGGTCAAGATCCGTCAACAGTCCCCTCCTGGCTCCTCTTCCTACTAGAGACGGTCATGATAATCATGGCGGGTTGCTGTTATGCGATTTGATAATCATTTGCACGTCACCAAGTACGAGGTGCAAGACAAAGTCCATTGAAAGAAGAAGGGCAGATGCTAGAGAAGCCTGCTGGGTATACCCCGTGGCGGAATATGGACACGCCTAGGAGAAGTCTCCTGATCTATGCCTATTCAGAGAATGGGCGGCTGAAAGGCATGCGAGTTGGGACGAAGCGACCTTCCACAACCAGACGAGGATATTCTTGGCAAATACAAGCTGCCCGATACGACTGACCATGACATGACAACCTGGACTAACTCAAAGTCTCAAAGTCTGAACCACAACCGTTTCTGCTGACCTTGCTCTCACCACCTCAACAATCTCTTGGTCCTGAACTACTGTCGGAGCCTCAATCCATACCTTTGCTCCCTCTTTTCACTTCCTTTTTCTTCTTCTGAGTGCCATGCGAATCTCTGTGCTTCTGAACCTCTGTTGAAGCCTCTTCTGACCGCATAGGAGCACTCACTTCCCCATTTATATGAGAACGGAAAGATTAGCCCACATGACTACCCAGACACATAAGATGAAACAGCGCTCATGTTGTCCTCATTTTATTTCTTCAAGTGGTTATAGACATCATGCCCAACAATCATGTGGAGTGGGTATTTAACCATGCCCACTTCACAGCCACATTTAAAAAGAGACAGTACATGGCATTCACAGATGGGGCATTACGCTCCATGAAAGGGCAGGAACTGATGAGCTTTATCAAGGTAAAGAAGAGGATGAGGATTAAAGATAAAGATGCGATCCTCGTGCAAGAGGGATCTGAGATGGTTGGTTGGACCTTAAAACAGCAGTCTATTCTCCCAAACCTCAACAATTGGTCGGTGCCATTCTATGAGCCATTTTAAATCAGCACGCACTAACTGTTGTTGAACTTCTAGTTGTCTCATGATCTCGCAGGACAGACACGAAATACACGTAATATTTGCGTCGTGGCACCAAGATTACCTGGATTATCTCGATAAAGCTGAGGGCAAGGGCAAAACTGCACCTCATAATGGAGACTTTTGGACTTTAGAATACAACTGACGATGTATGGCATGGCATTGCCAACCCCTCTGAACATTGGCTTTGCAAGCCCTACTGAACAATAATTTGCATCTCGGACAACAGCTGCAGAGGCACTCCGTTTTGCGGCCTTATCCATGAAGGAACGATACGACAAGCAGCATACGCCTATTACATTCCAGAAAGGCGACAAGGACTTGCTCAAAATCAAAGGCGATTAACGACTGGCGGCTTACAAGAGAAAACAAGAAAGACAACGACGGGGGATATGCAACCTTTTTCATCGGCGATCTCCAAGCACCTGATACCAGACCTGTCTACCCTCAGCAGTGGATGCACCGGGATAGTGTCAGTGTACCCGTCGTACACATACGGGTTGTTTATCAACCAACAGTAGATAGAGGAATACAACTATCATCTTCCCCTGACATACGGCATCAGCCTTGGAGTACGCTACCACCTTTGGTAGCATGTCAGCACATGAAGGATCTTGCAATTGTTACTGTTGCATTTACCCTCATCGTCAGATATGCTGTTTTTAGCGCACAAAGATGGTGATCAACCTCATTATCCGAGGCATGATATTGGAATGGAATACCACTACGCTGGGGCGAAGAAGGCTAGAAGAAGTCTATTGCAACTGGTATCCTAGTGTGTTTTGCGCGATAAAGTCTGCATTCTCACAAAAGGCGGCGGGGGCATCTGCCAGTCGTGCCATCTGTACCCGTTTTGGATGAAGGATGCGAATATGGTGGCGTGCAACAGTTTTTCAAGGCGCTGGGATGTTTTTGGAGTGATAAAATGATGGATGATGTACTCCTAAGTCTAGAGAATACATGTCCATAGTCATAGTGGTATAATATTTTAAACAGATGAACACTATCGCTCCCTCTCGCTTTATATCCAGTACTTGTAATAGACTCTGGAATGGATTGTGATTCAGGATATCAGCAGGCGCTTTTAAATTGGAAAAATAGACTTGCAAAGCTGAGCTGACCTGCTTCACAAAACGTCTTTTTTCCTGACATCATTGTTTGTCTACAACTCTCCAACACCCAAAAGAAAAATCCCCATCCTCTTCTCTTCCACAACTTCAACCATCACCATGGCCAGACTCTCGAGACTCTTTCGGAGCCGATCAAAAGCTGCAATACAGGCAAAGCGCGACAAGTTCGTAGATGACCTGCATGATGTCTATAACGAACTCCTATTTACAACTGATCCCTATATCGATCCAAAGTCGTATGAGACCTTCAAGATTACCTGTCATCATCTGTACCTCTACCACGGTCGTGAGTCTCGTGAGCAGGCAAATTTCGAAAGATACTTTTCTCCCATGTCCGTCAACCAGCTTCAGTCTTATCCCATCGATAAGGACGACGAAAACACGGTGGAATACTTGGAACTTGAGCAGACGCTTTGGAAGAAGCACAAAATTCTCGGGGACAAACCCATGGATGCCGCTCTGGAAATGTGCCACATAGTTGACAGGCGCTTTGATTTTTCACGAAAATTAAATGACAACGAGACATTCACTCTTAGGGAGCGTACAGATTGGATACCAAGGTAAGATTGATGATCAACCTTCGAGATAATGAGGGCTAATGGTTCGCATTACTTACAGTGATTTCACGAAATGTATTTTGCATGACGCTTTTGACGACGAACTTTGACACTCACGCAAATGGCGTCCTAATGATGCCTGGCGGGCTCGCTCTGCGCTTTCCAAGCCCCATGTGATGTTCTCTTTGGTGCATGAGTATGCTAGCGATGACAACAAACTCTTGCGTGGAGAGGTGCTTGCTATCCTAGCAACAATGCTTACAAGGCTCACCAGCAATGAATATCAGGACCATAACGTCATTCCGGTAGGTGAACTGTCTCTTCAAACTAGCAGTATCGCTCATACAGCCTAGGTCCTAGTTCTGTCGTTCATGGGAGATAAACAGGCCCGGCTGCTCCAGGCATACTTTGGCGACCAAGGCCTCGTTATCTACAAAAGCCGTCTCCTCTCTTTCCAGGTTCTGGAGGATGCTGAGAAGTCAATCGAGTTTCTTCTGCAATTCATGGCGGGTAAACTGGTGGGAAGCACGGCAGTCACCGGCTCTTTCTTTTGATTTGGACACTCATTATCCGAGGGATAAACACTATCGCTCCCTGACTATGATCTCCAGTGCCTTTGCAGAAATTCTTCCACCTTGACCGGCTGGAATTTGCACACCTCATTCAACACCCCCGGCACCACCGACCCTTCTCTCGCGCAGGCCATGGCGATCTGGCAGTCCATCCGCTTGATCACATCCTCGTCGGGAATCTCCTTTAATCGGTCTTCCAGCTGCTGCCTCGTCACCCGGCGCACGTCGACCTTCTTGCCGGTATACACCTCACAAAGCCTAACCAATTCATCGAAGCCGAGGGTATCACCCGCCATCCCCAACTCCCTTCCTCCCCATTCCTCCATCTCCAACGCAGCAACCACAAATCTCCCCACGTCCCGGATATCCGTCAACGTGAGGGCCGGCGACGATCCATCCTGTTTCACCGGGACAACCACATACGCCGGCTCCGCATCCAAGTGCACGAGGGACGCCCCCTCGGCCAACCCGGCCCGCGCCTCCTTTTCCTTCTCCCCTCCAATCCCAATCCCCAGGTAATTCATGAACATGCCGCACGGGAACCGCGCAGCATCGATCAGCCCCTCCTCGACCTTGGCCCTGACCGCCTCCCAGACAACATTCTTCGGCCTTAGCAAATCAACCTGCGCCTGGGCCTGCTCGCAGAGGGCAAACTCCGACGGCGCGAACCGCCGACAGCCCGCGTCTATAGCGGCGTTGAGAAGATTGAGCTGGTAGGTGATGGATTCCGGGCCGGGTATGAGCACGACGCTGAGGACGGTGTTGACGTCCTGGAGTGCGGCGACGAGAGACGTGTGGGATGTATAGTCCACGTAGCGGGTTTCGATGCCTGGAGGTGAGGGTTTGGGATTGTTGGTTTGCCGGGAGAGGATGATGGGCGTCCAGGGGGTGGTGGAGAGGGCGGCGAGGATGGATGCGCCCAGGGTTGGGCTGGAGCCTCCTGCGATGGCTACTTTGGGCATTTTACTGTGTACTCTCGATGGCACTGATAGTGAGTTTGATGCTTTCGGGGAGGACTAGGAGACAGATGATATATACTCCACAGAGACGATGACTCAAGCCAAGAAGCAATACGAGGTTGTATGTCATTGACTGGTTGCAAGCTGCCAATGAGATTTAACAGTTTTAGTCAAGCATTCAAGTGCTATTACTGTCATGGGAACTTCCATATCCGTAGCTGATACCGATCTTGATGGCCAAGTGTAACAATTAACCCTAATCCACCGCGATAGCACATTTAGTTATGCAATGTTCAGCACGATTAGCCTGCATTCACGACATATCTCACTGCTAGGCATCATATGTCTCCAAATAAGCCTCTAATAATCCCTCCAGCTGTTACCTGGCTGTCCTAAACCCCTAAATCCGATATCCAAAACCCGTCTCGGTATATAGCGCAGCTGAGCCCAGCCCACCATCATCCACATCGTCCTAAACACTACCGACAGACTCTACTCCGTAGTCCATACCACTTAACCAGTCAGATGCACATCTTCATCACCGGCGCAACAGGCTTCATCGGCCGCGTCGTCACCGAACTCGCCCTCCAACAAGGCCACACCGTCCACGGCCTCTCCCGCACCCCCCAAGGCGACGCGCTGCTCACCTCCCTCGGCGCCGTCCCCATCCGCGGCGACCTCACCACCCACGCCGTGCTCCGCGCCCAGTCCGCCCAGGCAGACACCACCCTCCACCTCGCCTTCGACCACGACTTCACAAAACCCTACGACCAGATCCTCAAGCTCGACACCGCGGCCGTCGACGCCCTCGCCGCCCCGCTAGCCCGCACCGCCAAACCCCTCGTCGTCGCCAGCGGCATCCTCCTCGCCCGCCCGCACCCGCACGGCGGCGTTGTCGACGAGTCCGCCCCCTACGCGGCCCACCCCACCATCAAGCGGCATCTGTGCGAGCAGCACGCGCTGGCGTGGGCGGAGCGGGGCGTGCGGGTTACTGTCGTCCGGCTCCCGCCGTATGTGTACGGCCGGGCCAACGAGACGGGGTTCGCGGCGCGGATGGTCAAGATGGCGGTGCGGAATGGGGTGAGCGGGTATATTAACACTGTAAAGGATGGGTGCGTGAGCAGTGTCTATGTGGATGATGCGGCGGCGTTGTTCTTGCTTCTTGCGTGTGATAGGACGGTTAACGCCGGAGAGGTGTTTCATGGGACGGGCGACTGGGATACGAGTTATGGGATGCTGGCGCGGGCGGTTGGGAGGGCGGTTGGGGTGCCGGTTAGGGCGTTTGGGAGGGAGGAGGCCGAGGAGAGGTTT